CAAAGCCTCAGAGACGCGGCACCCCGCCGCCGCTGTGGCTTTGCTCCCTGTGTCGCTGGTCTGCTGGGGGGGGGCGCAGCTAGTGCGCCCCCCCTCCCCCCAGCTGACCAGGCTTTTGTTGTGGACCCTGGGGTAGAGCAGCTGAGGTGCTGCCGGGTTGGTCCTGCAGGGACCTACCTGGCAGCCCAGCTGTTCTGTCCCAGGCTCGAGATTCAGCTGCTGTTGAAACTGATCAGTGGCTGATTCCAGGAAGCTGGGGGCAGAGCAATTCTTAAGAACAAACCTATAGTCCCTATCTTATACGTAACCTGGGGACTGCCTGTACTTACTCTATTTCACTGCAGCACGTTTCAGTAATGGGTTACAGCTCTGAAATGTGCAGGTAGGAGAGCTAAAGATAATGATGAACTGATTAGTTTAAACTGTGCATCTGCCTCTGCTCCCAGGTGGGCATAGGCTCCATGTTGCAACAGCTCACTGACATTTTCCATTCCTTATTTACAAGAGTCCCCTATCTAGGGAATGTGAATTGAAAATGTAAGCAACTGTGGCTTTTGTGATCTATGAGCTGGCTTTTGTCATCTATGAGCAACCTATGTGGGAAGGCGATGAAATCAAAGCACTAGACATGCCTATGTGGGCTGAGAATTTGGGCTGCACATATTCTTGATTTCCCCACGGCCATCCCCACGGCTTTTTACATTTGGTGTTTAACAGTTAAATTATCTTAAAAAATTGTAAATCTTTGCCTACCAAGTTTATTAAGATACTTCTCCTGAGCCTGTCTTTTGTAGTGTGTGCAGTGTTTCTTCGGCACGCTATGGTGAAAGGGACGTCATAGTAGATAAGCAACTCAGTGTAAGCTCCCAGTGCAGGGCTGTGGCAAAAAGGACACATGTATTCCTTGGATGTATAAAAAGGAAAGTGTGGGAGTAGGAAGCTGTTTTACTTCTGTATACGTTGCTACGGCTGCTGTTAAAGTACTAGGTACAGTTCTTGTGTCAGCATTTAAAAATTATGTTGAAAAAGTAAGAGAGGGCTCAGAAGAGACTGAGGACTAGAGAGAATGAGTTCTTTAGACCTCTCACTATGAGGCAATCTGTTTTTGTTTATCATCAGAAGACTGAGAGGTCACTTGATTGCAGTGTATAAGTAACTTCACGGGGAGAAAATACCAGGTATTAAAGGGCTCTTCAATCCAGTACAAAAAGGCATAACAATAACCAATTGCTTGGACATAAAGCTGGACAAATTTTAATTTTTTTTTAAACCGCGAGAGTGATTAACTACTGGAACAAACTATCACAGGAAGTGGTGGATTCTCCATCTCTTGAGGTCTTCACTTCAAGACCCGATGCTTTTCTGGAAGAAATGCTTTGGTTAAATACAAGTTGGGGGGCTCAACACAGGATAATTTGGTCACATGTAATGACCTGTGTTATACAGAGGATCAAACTAGATGATTGGCCTCTTCTGGCCTGAAATTCTGAGTCTGAGATGTACCAGACAGCAGGATCAATGACAGACCTGCTTAATTTCTTGTCTCCTTGATCATCTATGCCAGTACTTGTTACAATTCCTGCCAATCAGCAGATGGAGGCAGAACACAGACTTTTGATGTCATACCCTGTCTCTTAACAGTCTCATAATCTCTCTGCCTTCAGTTGTTTCTGACCTGCCTTGGTGTGAAATTGCTTTGCAGCAAACACGTGACACTAGTGCTCTGCGGGCCCTTGTTCCCGTATGTACCAGATACGTGACAATATGTTTTCCTCGAGCCTCTTAGTGTTTTGTCTCCATCTGGTGGTTGGGAGGAACTCAAACCCCTGAACCAGTAAAGAAGATCTCAAAGAATGGAAAGTGATCAACTAATGATCACTTCCCATTTTACTTCCTACTCCACCTTATGCTCAGAAAGCTTTAGTCTTCAGTCCACTTGCAACACTGCCTTAAACACTATGTATTAAGTATAATGTTGCTCTCTAGGGACAGAGATCAGATGTTCAGCTGGTGGCAAAGTATTTTAGAGTGGAGTCTATGAATTTATGTATTGTGAAATACATAACATGAAAAGTTGGGTCATGCAAAATTTTCATTGTAAGTGGTCTACAGAATGTGTGAGCCCCTTATGCTTAATAATCAGTTCCATCTTTTATTAAGCTTAGACGGTTGATGGTCTTCTGACTTGAGGAAGAGCTCTGAGAAGCTCAAAAGCTTACCTCTTCCAGCAACAGAGGTTGGTCCAATAAAAGAGATGACCACATCTAACTAGTTTCTCTCATGTCCTGGGATCAATCCCAGTACAATAGCACTGCTATTTGCCAAATACGGAGACACACCGTGAACAATTTGTAGATCCAGACCAGATGCTAAATCTTCAGAACTGAGATGTTCAAATTATTTTTCTTGTCGCTTTGGAAAAATCTATGCTCTCCAGTACAAATCATGGTAGCCTTGAATGCAGCTGCAGATTCTGATGAGCATTTCAGTTGTAAATCTGTTTCAGTTGTGTTATTTGTCAGAACAGTGCCCTGGAGTGTTGCTCTAGGTAAAGATTGTGTGTGTTTTTCTTCCTTTTTCTTGAGGATCCTGTAGCTCTGCCATGAACATTTGCTTGAGCTGCTTGAAGCTTAGAATTAACATGTTCAATCTAGTAGCAATGTTTATGTATATTTTTAACCATCTTCCTACAGGGATGAGATGTTTTCCAGTTTCATTTGAAAGCATAAGGCCAAAGGGGAAATTCCAGTGTCAGTGCTTGTGTGTCTAAAGTTTCAGCAACACTCATACAAAGTTCATTTAAAAACAAATAATTTATAGGAGCTTGATTTCTACCTAAATCTAGAAGGGCAAAAAAAATGTTTAAGAACATCCCAGTCATCGCTGAACACTTCATGAACCAGGGAAAACGACAGAACGGTGTGATATTATGAATGTATCATGGAATGAATGAAGGATGCACCTGTCCATTTTTGATGTATTGTCTGTATATGATAGCATGCAAAGGGGGTGACTTTGTTTGCAAAGTCTAGTCCTGTTGGGGTTAAATCTTGCAGAAGCAAACCCTGTGGGGTTTGGATCCACATCTACTACTACCCTGCACTAGTTAGGCCTCAGTTGGAGTATTATGTCCAGTTCTAGGCACCGCATTTCAAGAAGGATGTGGAGAAATTGGAGAGGGTCCAGAGAAGAGCAACAAGAATGCTTAAAAGTCTAGATAACATGGCCTATGAAGGAAGGCTGAAAGAATTGGGTTTGTTTAGTTTAGAAAAGAGAAGATTGAGGGGGGACATGATAGCAGTTTTCAGGTATCTAAAGGGGTGTCATAAGGAGGAGGGAGAAAACTTGTTCATTTTGGCCTTTGAGGATAGAACAAGAAGCAATGGGCTTAAACTGCAGCAAGGGAGGTTTAGGTTGGACATTAGGAAAAAGTTCCTAACTGTCAGGGTAGTCAAACACTGGAATAAATTGCCCAGGGAGGTTGTGGAATCCCCATCTCTGGAGATATTTAAGAGTAGGTTAGACAAATCTCTATCAGGGGTGGTCTAGACAGTATTGGGTCCTGCCATGAGGGCAGGGGACTGGACTCGATGACCTCTCGAGGTCCCTTCCAGTCCTAGTATTCTGTCATTCTATACAGTTCCCAGGGCCTTGGGGACATTGAACACGAGGAAGACGTGCATGCTGGGACCCGTAGTTCCCAGGGCATTAGGGACAGTGAGCATGAGGGAGCAGTGCATGCTGGGACATATAGTTCCCAGGGCCTTAGGGACACAGCATGACGAATTGTGCATGCTGGGACCCATAGTTCCCTGGGGTCTTAGGGACACTGAGCGTGAGGAACAGTGCTTGCTGGAACATATAGTTCTTGGGGGCCTTAGGGACAGTGAGTGTGAGGGAGCAGTGTATGCTGGGACCTGTAGTTCCCAGGGCCCTAGGGAGCAGTGCATGCTGGGACCTGTAGTTCCCAGGGCCTGAGAGAGCAGTGCATGCTGGGATCCCCACATCCCATTTAGCAATGGTTGTGCCCCCCAGCTGCTGCTGTGCAGCCCCAAACCCCCGGTCCCTTCTGGGCAGTGCAGGGTTGTGGATCTTACCAGCATGATGACCTGCCCAGTGCAGAGAGCACCCGGCTGACGCGGCTCCCTGTCTGGAGGGGCATCACTCGGCCGCCCCTGCTCCTCACTGCCTCCCACTGGATCCTCCGGTGCCGGGGGAGGCGGGTTCTCCTCCTCTTCCATGGCCATGGGCAAAGAGACTCCTGCATACAGGAAAGGTGAGCGAGGCCACCAGCTCTCACCCCCACCAGCAACACAGCCCCCACCATGCCCAGCCTGGTTCTCAGCCGCTGCTCTAACCACCAGGCCCTACTCCCCTCCCTGAGCTAGGGGAGAACCCAGGCATCCCAGCTCCCGGCCCCTCCCACTTCTGCACCTGTGTCCTCATCTAATGCCTGTACAGCTCAGGCTCAGAGACAGCCGTCCTCCAGCCAAGCCCCACAGCTCCTTGGCCCTGGCCCGTGCCCTTTCCCCACCCCCCGGAGCTATCCTGTCCCTGCCCTGGGGCCAGTGCCCCATCAAGAGGAAAGGGCCCGTATCTCACCCGTGCCTGGACAAGCCTCTGCCCAGCAGTCAGTTCTCAGCTCACATCGCTGAAGCTGTGAGGTCAAAGGGGAAACGGACCCACAAGACCCCCTGTGGACCCAGAGTCCCTTCCTGCTGCACCCTCCCCCCCCTTTGCTGGGTGGCTGAACAAGATGTACCGGGGGCAGGGGGAAGCCTCTGGCCTCTGTGAACCAGCTCAACTCAGCCGCCCCATGTGGGCCAAGGGGCTTCCTTCCTCTGCCCACGGAGGGGCCCGAACATCGCCCCCCAGGCCGCTGATCAATAGCCCTCCTCTCCAGCCCCCACTCCTGAGCGGCCATGTATTCCTCCTGGCCCCCACTACCCCC